GGAGGCTGAGGCAGGAGGATCGCTGGGAGTTCCAGGTCAGCCTGGATTGCAAAGTGAGTTCCAGGCCAGCCTACACTACACAGCAAAAACTTGGCTCAAAAAGAGATCCCCCCCCCCCAAAAAATATCTCAGCACTGTAATCCCTGCTACTGGGAGGCTGAGGCAAAAGGACCACAACTTTGAGACCAGCTCTGGCAATTTAGCGAGACCTGCTCTCAAAGAACCCAAAAGGCCTGCGGATGTAGCTGAGTGAAAGGCCCTGTGCTGCAAAACGAAAGAATTTTTAAAAAGCGCTGGTGAAGGAGGAACCGGGAAGCCGCCCGGCGCGGGACAGCTGGTGGCGAGGCGGCCCCCGGGAAGGCGGCGCTCGGCCGCTGGGGACGGGAGGGGGACGGGAGGGGGACGGGAGGGGGACGGGAGGGGGACGGGAGGGGGACGGGTGGGTGCGCCCTGCCAGCGGTCGCGGAGGAGGCGGCCGCGGAGGAGCCCGGCGCCCAGGCCCGCAGAGCGGTCGCGGACGTCGCGCAGAGAGGACCAGAGAACGCGGGCACCTCGTCTCGCCCAGTCGTCCGGCCCGCGCCCGGGACAGAGGAGCGGAGCCCCGCCGCGCCATGAGCCCCGCGGCCCGCAGCTCGCGACCCCACACCTACCTGAAGCGGGCGCCTCCGCCCGCGGCGCGCTGTCACAGTGGCAGCGGTGACCCTCGGCGCCGGTGACGCCTCATAAAAACAACCTGCTGGCGGCGGCCACGGCCGGAGGCGGAGCCTGAGCGCGGCGCATATCGGGAGATGCAGTCCCGAGTGCGCCCTGGACCAGCCGCCTACGACCTAACGAACTACAACTCCCAGATATCCGCGCGCCTCCGGAAGTCGCCGGGCTGCGAACCTCACAACATCCGGGCCTCGCGCCCGGCCAGTTGCTACGGAGACGGCGGCAAGCGCTGGAGGCTCGGCGGACAGGCTCGCGGGAGCGGATCCTCCCCGGGCGCCCTCCGCCCGACTCGGCCTGCCGCTGCGGGAAGGACTGCACTGGCCGGAGAATCAAGCTGGAGGATGGCATCTGGGCGGGTCTGTGCAGGCCAGAAGGTTGGAGAATTGCATTCTGTGAGAGAATTGGAGGCAACACCTCCTCCTCCTTCCTATCGCAGAAATACTCCTTCCAGGCGGCCGTCGAGCTGTGGCCTTGGCAAGCCTAGGCGCAAGGTTCTGGAGGTAGAGAGGGACAGAGGTCGCAGTTCCGCCTTGTCCAGCGGCTCCAGGACTCTCTTCATTCGGGGCTGGACCAAAAAAGGGAAGCGGGCCGCGCGTGGTGGCGCAGGCCTGCCATCCCAGCACTCTGGGAGGCTGAGGCAGGAG